CGAATGCATGAAAAATATTTTCAAATTTTCAAGAATGTGAATGAACACGTAAGAGTGGAAAGAACATTCCCTATTCTTTTGGTTTGGAGTAGTTTAGAATTTTTGTTGAAAATATCGGTAGAGTGGGAGCATTTAACTTGCCACCCCACAGTTATACCTGGCACTCCAAGGGTATGAACAGATCAAAATAGCCTAACTCAGCTTTTTTACCATTTCACGAAATTTTCAGTAGAGAACCGTATTTTTTGAAGTTCCAGGGCGAAACCAGTGATTTGCAAGCGATACTATAAATTTTCACACAAAAGTAAGAATTTTTAGTATATTTGCGAAATTTCTGGTAGAATTTCACGGAAAGTTCAAAATTTCAAGGAGAAATTCATGAAAATATCAGTATTTTCGTTATTTCTTACTGGAAATTTCAAAATTTTCGGTGCTTTTGTAGTACTTTCTACCATAAATTTTGAAATTTCTGGTAGTTCAATTTTTTTTGAAAAATCCTCAAAATTTTGAAATTTTCGGGAATTCATTTTTTAACTATTTTTTTCTTTTTTGTCATTTATTCAATGAGGATCAGGGGTAAGGACGATTCCATTAGGGGAAGGTTGATTGATAGAGCGGAAGCTCAGGCTAGAGTTGATGAGGCAAAGACTTTTCAGCTACGAGCTGGACGATGTTCTCTTACCGGTTCTCATCAGAAACAGATGGCTAAGCAAGCGTAGTTCCGCGCACCCCGATGTTGAGGTAGTATAGATTTTGTGGTTGTTGTTGTTGAGGAGGTACCTGCTCCTGCGGCTGTTGCTGGGGAGGTACTTGTGCCTATGAATGAGGAGGTTCGTGTATTCGTTGTGGATAAGGTTCATGTGAATGAGGTAGTTGTTAATGAGGTTCATGTGGCAGCTGAGCAGGTTGTTGTGGACGAGGTAGTTGATGAGGTGTCACCTACTAATACATACGTCACCATTGGTGCATCTACAGAGCTATTAGTTCACACTGATTGAGCCTGTCCATGAGGATATGTTGACAGGTCTGTGCTCACAGGGTATGCTGACCATGTCACATACAAAGTACGACAAAACGAGGTATATATGTTATATTTTTTATTGCAAATTATTTATTATGGCTCAATCAAGTGTTGAAAGTTTATTGATACTTTTTTAAACTTTATTTCTTACAAGAGCGTCTTACGTTGAAGGTTGCATTCCATCGTTTGAAGTTGAAGAACTTCCTAGAGGGTTCGATTCCTGAGTAGGTCAGGCGTATTATTTCTGATTTTAGCCTGCTGGAGTTCGCCGAGTGCTCACTAACCATGCTTGGCGCCTCTCTCATGTAAGCTTTTGTTGAATGGTGGCATCCAGAGATATCATCCTTTCATCTTCCATTTTGGAATATGATTATCACATTGGGTGATGTCTCTTCATTGTTTCATCTCCCCATCACTGATACATTACTCAAAGCTCCTCATATTAACCAGACGACGACGCTGATATAGGTTGTAGAGGAGTTGCAGGTCAGTGAGGTTGTGGTGCTTAAGGAGTTTGGCTTTAACATGGGACTTCACCTTCAGATGTCTTGGTTGAGGAAAAAGTACAAGGAGCACGTGACAGCAAAGAGGTATGAGACTACCGCTAGGGTGTACATGCTACATCTAATGGCATGTACTATCTTTGCGGACAAGTCTGATATTTACATTAATGTTCGATACTTGTCGTTGTTCAATATCCTAGACACTCAATGTTAGACTTGGGGAGTGGCAACATTGACCATGCTGTACATGACACTTGGAGTTGCTTCCCAGCCTGAGACCAGATAACTAGCTGGTTATTTGAGCATATTACAGGTATACTAGCATTTCTTTGTTGGCTTTTATTTATTTATTTGAGTCTATTAGTTATTTGTTGGATGGCATATTAATTAGTTTTTATTTTATTTAGTGCTGGATATACGAGCATTTCCCTCACATATGTGATAAGAGACATCAACGTGTCCTAGCGAGTGCTCCACGGGCGAGGAAATGGAAGGGCAGACAAGCGATTCACAGTGGTGTTGCAGAGTACAGGAGGAGGCTTGATGCTCTAACAATAGATGATGTCGTCTGGACACCATATACAACTCATCGAGCCTATCGTCTGTTTGACTATGCTTCCTTGTATTCAGAGAATATGAGGTGGGAGAACCACGTGGCTAGACACTTGCCTGAGAGGTGTCTGCAACAATATGGTTATATTCTGGGCATCCCTCGTCCAGTTCCAGAGGCTTTATCTGTGGACATTGATAGATGGTTTCAGAGTCACATCATCAGCTCTGCCCGTGACATCAGTGCGGGAATGGTTACTTGAAATGGTATCACAATATATCACACCCTCGTCTCATACCTTCAACTGTAGGGTTTTCTGATGCTCTAGGGCCATCTAGTGCTAGGATTTCTGATGCTGAGATATAAGCTGACGATGTGCCGCCACCGCCACCTCCACCTCTCGCAGGTAATCAGGATAGCCGCCTCCAGTTGATTGCAGTTATTGCAGATAACCTCATGGATTTGATAAATCCGTATGGTGAGGTTTTTACATGTTTATCTAGGCTAACAGACATGGCCCGTGGGAGGGCATATTTAAATATATTATAATTTAGTTGTATTATATGTATATTTTGTGACACAGACTTCTTATTACGGTACTTATTTATTGCATAATATTTTGGCGATTACATATTTTGATTCGAAGATGAATATGGCATAAATTAAAAAAAATTAAACATGAAAACTTAGGTACTACCAGATGATTCTAGACGTTTCAACATATTGATTATGTCGTTAACATATTTTGTTATTTGTGCATCTAATTCGATCAAACCCTTGGTTATCTTACAGAGGAATGATTTCCACATGGCCATCACATCTTCGTCGGTCTTCAACTCAATCAGATTGTATTTCACCCTTCTATTTATATCAATCTAATCTTCTCGAAACTCGATCTTTCTCACTCTTATTATCGGTATCTGACAGCAATTCATTCAACATGTCTTTCAAGATGACGAGGGATGTGGTGTCATCTGGAAGCTTGAATTTAACAGGAAGGTTCCGTTGAAATACACTTTCGTCTTAAGCAGAAATTGAGGAAGATGCATTTTTGAGATGTCTTTCTTTATAACATTTGTCTCTATTTATATAAATGGCGATTCATTCTAGACTATACAAATTTGTCAGTGTAATCAGAATCCTCTAGGAATGTCGGCAAAATCTTGATCATTAAAAAATTCATAATCATTACACTACTGGAAATTTCAGCATTCAACTAAATTTTTGGTACAACATGATAAATTTGAAATTTCTGAAAAAAATTTAACCTTATCGAAAATTTTAAATAGACTATAAATTTTTTTAACATATCAGAACTTTCATATAAATTATTAGAAATTTTGTACGTATCGGAAATTTGCATTATTTTATCCAAAATTTTGCTAGAAAAAAAATATTTCTATTACACCAAAAACATTTCGAAAATAATGGAAAATGGAGGAGTGTTAAGATATAATTTGAAAGATGGCTCGTAGAATGACTATTGAATTGAGAAAGATGGATAATCGTATTTGAGTAAAAAATTATCGTTTTGTCATTAGGTCCCACAGCAACAATAATCAATAGGAGTCAGGATATTATAGCTTTAGCCATTCGGTTTGGCTTTGGCTGGTGTGAAACATGCCGCAAATCTTGATGTTGCACTCTATTGCATCCTGTAGAATGTAGATGCTGCTTTTCTAGTCAAAATCACATGGTTCATTCGTTACTTAATAAGTTTTTTAACTAATGTTTTTAAGACACAAGTTATAGTTTTTTTATATTTCATTTCCAATATTAATTTTATTAAATTATCTTAATTAAATATTAATATGTTTATATTATAATTAATAATAAGTAAGAAAATAATAAATTAAAAATATTTATTGCAGAATAAAATTGAATGATTAAATATAAAATTATATTAGTAACCTGACAAATTTTTTGGCAATTTTTTTTAAATATAATATTTATTTTGAGATAGCGAGTATTTGATAACAAAAATTATAAAAATGATAAAGTAATTATCCAAAATTGGCTATAACTTATTACTTGTCGCGTGTACCGTGTACGCGAACTTCACGCGCAATCCATGTCCGTCCAGGACGGCATCCCATCACTCAAAACTTTTTACAAACTTTTCATTATCATCAAAAGGAAATTAATTAACTTAATCTTACAATTAAACGTGCAGCCACTTTACAAATATCATTTTAGAGATGAGTTTAATTGATATGCACTTGTAAAATAGTTACACCAAAAGCATGACACCTAATGCTCACACCGTGCTTTTAAGTGTGGCTTAAATTCCAACTTGAATAAAAATGATAATTAAATGGAAAATGTAGATGATACCTTATAAAAATAAGGTGTAGGTGTCACATTCAGCTAGTATATCAATTCTCATTATTTTAAATCCATCTTAAGTCTTAATTAAAATATTAATCATCTTCAATATTTATTTTTAAAAAATTAATTAAAAAATTGTCTCTTCACTCCACCTAGATTGTGCTCTATGTATTGACTATTGAAATGAAAAATGAAATAGAGATAATGCTTAACAACAACTCATGAAAATGCATCCCACTAACCTTTTTTTTTTTTTTTCTCCATCCCACTCACATTGAAACTTGCATGAATATTTTCATGTGAATTAGTATCAAACTTTTTAGTTTCTTCTTAGAAAAAACCATTAAATTGCACAACCACAGTGTGTGTATATTAAAATACTCCTTTTTGCAATTTTTGACCAAACTATAGATAACAACAAAAACAAAAGCAACATTGTTTGTTTTTCTAGGAAGTTACATGGAAACTATGTCATCATGTACTCTTTAACACGGAATATATCAAAGTTTGAGTGTATATATACATAGGTGATTATTCTTGTATCTATAGAATGAAGTTCTTTCCTAGTATCTTCCTATACTTGCAATAAAATTTCACCATGTCTAACAATCATAATCTACAATATGATGGTACTTCATTCATCATTGATATCACCAATACCTTCACAAAAGTCACTTCTCAATACACCAACAATGCAAAACGAAGGTGGCGTTTTGCTTATACAGCTATTTATTCTAGAAGGGTCATGCTTTCCCTTGCAAAAGAAGTTATATCCAGAAAAAATTCAAAACTCTTTCACACACAGTCTTCTAGCACCACTCTTGATGTAATTGAGCCACTGATTACTCGACATAACGAAACCAATCGTTATTCTTTGGTTTCTCGTGATGTTGATATGATCAAACTCGCTGATATGGTTAAGGACAACAACTTGAAGTCATTAGATGAGTTTGGAGGAGTGGAAGGTGTTGGAAATGTTCTTGGGACGGTTCCGAATAGGGGAATCGTTGGAAGTGATGATGATATTTCGAGACGGGTGGAGTTGTTTGGTTCGAATACTTACAAGAAGCCGCCTCCTAAAGGTCTTTTACATTTTGTGCTTGAAGCTTTCAATGATACAACTATTATTATCCTTCTTGTTTGTGCTGGACTTTCCCTTGGTTTTGGCATTAAGGAGCATGGACCAGGGGAAGGTTGGTATGAAGGTGGAAGTATATTTGTAGCGGTTTTTCTTGTGGTGGTTGTAAGTGCATTAAGCAATTTCAGACAAGAGAGACAGTTTCATAAACTGTCTAAGATAAGTAACAATATCAAAGTTAAGGCTGTGAGAAAGGGAAGGCCGCAGAATATATCGATTTTCGATGTTCTTGTGGGAGATATTGTGTCTCTCAAGATCGGTGATCAGATTCCAGCTGATGGAGTTTTTTTATCAGGTCATTCATTGCAGGTGGATGAGTCTAGCATGACAGGTGAGAGCGACCATGTAGAGATTGAGCCATTAAGAGCGCCTTTTTTGTTGTCCGGCGCGAAAGTGGTGGATGGATATGGGCAGATGCTTGTAACATCTGTTGGGAAAAACACGTCGTGGGGGCAAATGATGAGCTCGATATCGCGAGATACTAATGAGAGGACGCCGCTGCAAGCTCGCCTTGACAAGTTAACATCTTCGATCGGGAAGGTTGGTCTCGCGGTAGCGTTTCTTGTACTTCTAGTATTGTTGGTTCGTTATTTTACAGGTAATTCGCAGGAAAAGAAAGGGAATAAGAAGTTTCAAGGAAGTGACAGCGATGTAAACGATGTTTTGAATTCTGTTGTGAGTATTGTTGCGGCTGCGGTTACTATTGTGGTTGTGGCGATCCCCGAGGGTTTACCGTTGGCCGTGACGCTCACGCTTGCTTACTCGATGAAAAGAATGATGGCAGATCATGCCATGGTGAGGATACTTTCTGCTTGTGAAACTATGGGATCTGCAACAGTTATCTGTACTGATAAAACAGGTACCTTGACATTGAACCAGATGAGGGTGACCAAGTTTTCTCTCGGCCTTGAAAATTTTATCGAAAATTTTTCCAATGCAATGGCTCCGAACGTTCTCGAGTTATTCCACCAAGGGGTAGGCCTTAATACAACCGGAAGCGTCTATAAGCCTCCATCAGGATCTGAACCTGAAATTTCAGGTAGTCCAACGGAGAAAGCGATTCTTATGTGGGCGGTATCGGAATTAGGTATGGACATGGATGAAATGAAACAGAAACATAAGGTCCTTCATGTTGAAACGTTTAACTCAGAGAAGAAACGAAGCGGCGTGGCAATAAGGAAGGACAGCGATAGCCAAGTTCATGTACATTGGAAAGGAGCCGCAGAGATGATACTTGCAATGTGTACAAACTATATTGATAGTAACGGTGCGAGGAAGTCCCTCGACAGAGAAGAACGGTATAAAATCGAGAAGATAATTCAACGTATGGCCGCTAGTAGCCTAAGATGCATTGCTTTCGCTCATATGGAGATTTCAGATTCAGAAGAAAATGATTTTATGATCAAAAGGGAGGAGAAAAAGTCGCTAAGAGAAAACGGGTTAACCTTGCTTGGCATTGTTGGTCTCAAGGATCCATGTAGACCAAACACTAAGAAAGCTGTGGAAACTTGCAAAGCTGCAGGAGTCGAAATTAAGATGATCACCGGCGATAACATATTCACCGCAAAGGCAATAGCAACAGAATGTGGAATATTAGATCCTAAGGATCATGCAAATGCCGGAGAAGTGGTGGAAGGTGTTGAATTCAGAAACTATACAGAAGAAGAGAGAATGGAGAAAGTCGATAACATCCGAGTGATGGCAAGATCATCTCCTATGGACAAACTCTTGATGGTGCAATGCCTGAGAAAGAAAGGCCATGTAGTTGCAGTCACAGGCGACGGTACAAACGATGCACCTGCATTAAAAGAAGCCGATATAGGACTCTCAATGGGAATCCAAGGAACCGAAGTCGCCAAAGAAAGTTCCGCTATCGTTATCTTAGACGACAACTTCAACTCCGTCGCAACTGTTTTAAGGTGGGGAAGATGTGTTTACAACAACATCCAGAAATTCATTCAGTTTCAACTAACTGTCAATGTCGCAGCACTCGTGATAAACTTCATCGCAGCAGTATCTTCCGGCGATGTTCCCTTAACAACAGTTCAACTTCTTTGGGTGAATCTCATTATGGACACACTAGGTGCTTTGGCACTAGCAACAGAAAGGCCTACAAAGGAGTTAATGAAGAAAAAACCGATCGGTAGAACCGAGCCTCTTATCACAAACATCATGTGGAGAAACCTTCTAGCACAAGCTTCATATCAGATCGCGGTTCTTCTGATTATGCAGTTCTACGGAAAATCAATCTTCAACGTAAGTAAAGAGGTAAAAGATACACTAATCTTTAACACTTTTGTTCTCTGCCAAGTTTTCAACGAGTTCAACTCGAGAAGCATGGAGAAACTATACGTATTCGAAGGCATTTTGAGAAACCATCTTTTTCTCGGAATTGTGGGGATAACTATTGTCCTTCAAATCTTGATGGTTGAACTGCTAAGGAAATTTGCTGATACAGAAAGATTAACATGGGAGCAATGGGGAATTTGTACCGGTATCGCAGTTGTTTCATGGCCTCTTGCTTGCATAGTAAAGCTCATACCTGTTTCAAATCAACATTCATTCAACTATACTAAGTGGGTTAAGTTATTAGTCTTCAAGATTAAGAAAGCTTTTTAAGTTGATCTTAAATTGCACTAAAATTTCAAGGTATCTTAGCAAATACCTATATATGTGAGGGTGTATAATAAATATAAACTACCTGTATCTATTTTTTTTTGTGAAGTTGGTTGAGTAGGAATTAAGATATAGGTGATATATTCATGTTAACTTCTCTCAAGTGTAGCAAAAAGTATATAGTTGAAACCTTCAAATTGGTATGAGTAGAAATGCTTTCATTTTCTTAGGAACATTTTGTTGATGTTGAATACCTGATACAAGCTAATCAAATTTCATGTGATTTCTGTATGTAATATTGTCTTATGATGTTGCTATGCTAACAATCTGTGAGAATTGTAACGGTTGCGGAGTGTTGCTTCATAATACAATTTTTCTTGTACACTGTTTTTTATCTAAAGGATGTTGTTTTCATATGCATCTTATCTCATCACTAATTATGATATTTCTCATCTATGTTGAAATATTAAATTAGATTTATTAATGATTTATTAATGACATATGAAGATGAAATAATAACTCTCACAAATAGACCATTGTGTCTCGGGTAAGACATAAGGCTTTAGGGTTTCAATTATTCAAATATTACATATCCTAAAAAAGACAAAAAGACAATTACTCTTGAATAAAAGTAATAGGAACAAAAGTATTTGGCCTCCCAATTGTTGAGTCCACCGCTGATAGTTGGGAAGATCCACTTGTCCATGTCACATTCGCTATCACTGTCTTCCAGAGCATTGACTCCATCTTTGCTGATGCGTAGTGGTTGTCCCCCAGCGCGAGCACGACGAGCAACTCTTTGGACCCTTGAAGTAAAACCCAAACCAAATTTGTCAGATTTTTAAAGGATATCAGGGAGTTGGTCCCAAATGGTACACCCACCTTCCTCGACTACTGCTTTGGATATTATTGTTCAGAGTAGTCCTCTTCTTCTTCTTCTTCAGCCTCAGAATCTGAAGGCACTGCAGTCTCTTTACCTTTTCCTTCCCCTTCCTTAGAGGTTGATGGAAAATCCAAGACCCTTCTGGCTTGTCTTTCAAACCTTCTGTCCATGGTAGCCACGCCAACTCGCTTCTTCTTCTTTTTCTCTTTTCCTTTCTCTAGCAGAGTCTTGAGCTCCTCCTGCCCCTTAGCCAAGGTCAAGAGTAGTTGCTGAAATTGCGAATTATGAGCTTGCAAGTCTTTAACCGTTTGTTCAAGATCCATGTTGCTGAAATAAACAGCAGAGGGATGAGAATTTTTTTTATTAATAACCATGTATTAAAAAAATATTTCGCAAATAACCGGGTTTCGGAAAAAATTACGCAAATAACCATGTTTCAGATGGCTCCACAAAGGAGGAGCCATCTCATTTGGCGCATGCACCTAGGGTTTTGCCCTAGGCGCCATCTCACTTGGCGCCTCCCTTGGCTTTTAGCCAAGTGAGATGGCGCATGCTCCTTAAAAAGGAGAGGAGGCGCTATCTCACTTGGCGCCTAGGGCAAAACTAGGGTTTTTTTGCTGTTTTATAAATAATTCGTCCGTTTCTTTGAAATTTCTCACACTTTCTCGCACTGTATTTTTATTTTGTACTCCCTTATTTACGTAATGACGTCGCCTATGATTTTTAGCAGAGATGGTTACGTTATATTCTCCGCCACGAAACCTGCGATGAAAATGAAATTCTGGCACATTCACTCCATGGAGCGTCTGAAGCGGGAGTTGATGCGGTGGCTAGATGGAGACATCGCCGAGGGGGAAAAAATTCGAAGGATCCAGCGAAAACGAACAACAACCTCGCATGCGACAGGAAGACCTAATGTGTGGTTGGAGGAAGTCAAAACAGACAGTGATGTAATGCTGATGATGCATGGGTCAGATGAAATTGTGTTAACAGTTGTAATTTCCTAGATTGAATATCGTTAATCATTGTTGTACGCGAAAACCCTAATGTAATTTCCTATATTGAATTTCTTAAATTGTGTGAACAGTTTTATTAACGGAAAACCCATAATGTTTACAACACAAATATTGAAAAGATTTATTGTATTACAAAATTTATGTGGTCGAGCCAGACGCCCGATTCGGACAGTTTTTGCGATTGTGTCCGACCTGACGGCATAAACCACACTTTCTTTCCAACCTGTCAAGATCGTCCATTTCTGTTGTTATGCGCCTGCTTTTGGGACGACCCTTCTTGTTCCTTCGCATTTGGTCATTGTGCCAAACTATATCACCGTTGTATTCAGGCCAATAGTCCGGTTTTGCCACCAAAGGAAAGTTGTTGTTGTAAACAGTGAGCAACGTTTCAGATTTATAAACGTTTGAGAGCAGTTGAAGCGCGTCTTGATGGGTATGAGCACAAGCGGAAATGACATGAGAGCAAGGCATACGAAAAGCTTGAAACCTGCCACAATCGCACCATTGAGAAGGTAAAATGACCCTGTATTCTTGTCTTGCCAGGCCTTCATTGTGGTCAATTGTCTCTTTCACAATGAAGTTGTGGCTATGGCGGTCAAACCGTGTAACCATGTGAGTGTTGGCTTTAGCACTTTCAGCCTTAATGTATTTCATACAACTTTCACTCCATAGTTGTCCTGATTGCAAGACCGCATACCACATTTCACCTCTTTTGGCAAATAACGCAGCCATCCTAAAATACGTGGATTTCACCAAGGCAGTGATGGGGAGGTTTCGTATGCCCTTGAATACCCCATTCATTGATTCAATAAGATTTGTTGTCATATGCCCCCATCTTTGGCCATTGTCGTATGACCTAGTCCACTTTTCGACCGGTATATTGTCGATCCACGTACCGGCTTCTGGGTTAGACAAATGGATCTCGTTGCGGTAATATTTGAATGTGGGCTGTGTCAGTGCGTATCCCGCATTCATCACCGCTTTCCTCAATGTTTTGTCCTTGACCTCCCTCGAGAAATTCTGGACGATATGCCTGACGCAATAGACATGCGTAGAAGGAGGGTCATGCCAACCATTTGCCGGATTATTATAGGCACTTTCAATGGAGGCATGTCTGTCCGAGATCAAACAGAGATCTGGTTGAGGAGCCACGTGTGTACGAAGATTTTTCAGGAAAAAGCTCCAAGCACCACCGGTCTCCCCCTCGACAAGGGCAAACGCAACGGGGAAAATGTTATTGTTGCCATCTTGTGCAACTGCCATCAAAAGCGTGCCTTTGTACTTCCCATACAACCAAGTCCCGTCTATTTGTAGAATTGGTTTGCATGATGCAAACCCTGTGATGCATGGTTGAAATGCCCAAAAGACGCGACTGAATATTCCGTTGCCATGTAGTAGACTACCATCTTGGGCGTACGCTGGCAATATTTCCAGAACATAAACACTACCTGGAGAATATGTCTTGAGCGCATTTAGGTAGCGGGGAAGTTCTCGGTATGACTCCTCCCAGTTTCCGTACACCCTTTTAATCGCCTTAGTCTTTTCTAACCACGCCTTACGGTAAGACGGAGTGTAGTTAAAAACCGTGGTGATGTGGGAGATGATTGTTTTCACCTTCAAAGAAGGGTCGTTGCTGACCAGGGGTAGGATTTCTTGACAGATTAGATCATGGTTGAGTTTTCGGTGGTCTTGTGATTGAGTGGAACTTACACAAGTATGGGTAGTCATGGAACCTATGACCCGGCAGTCACCCCTTAGTCTGTATGAAGCGGTCAGCTTGAACATACAGTCAGGGTGGACACACTTGATCTTGTACCTTTCCAGGTTTACACGATCCACCTTATAATCAACCGAGTTGAGCATGTGAAATTTTTTGATGGCCCTTATGCATTCCTCTCTGTTACGAAACTTGTCCTTCTCTTTTAAATTTTCATCCGACTGCATATACGGTTGGAAAAACAAGTCCGTAGAAGGTTCATCTCCGCCCATGTTGAAGTTTGTCATGTGCGTAGGTGGTGTGTAGATTTTGTCGGTAGGAATACTTGGGATGCCATCATCGTCAGAATCGTCGTTCACCATTTCATCAAACTCTAACTCGTTATCTTCTTCTTCATCATCAACTGCATCCACCTCATCTTGCTCATTCTCCAAAGGATCAACCTCCTGTGTCACCGGAGGCTCTACCTCCTGTGTCACCGGAGGCTCTTGAAACAAAACGTACAACTCAATAGAGTCGTTTCCAGAATAGACATGGCTGGAAATCATGTTCTGGAAATCCTCGTCATCTTGAATTGCAACCTTATAAAAAATAACTTGGTTGTTTCCAAAAAAGACTGGACTCTGATAAAATATCTGGGATACCGGGCCTCGTTCAAGTTTGGCCTCCAATCTTTTCTTAAAGTACGAGAAATTTGCTTTCCCGTTTAAGAGAAATCGAACATTGTCGGTGTTTCTAAACAAAAACCCAACTGTGGGACACATGTATGTCTCACCGTTGAAATGTGCTTTGACAACAAATTGTGGTGAAGAGGCCATTGTGTAGAATTGTTTTAGGTATGAAGGTGGGAATGTTTTGGGTTTATTGATTGTATGAAGGTATGAATGCTGGAATGTTTGAAGGTTAGATGACTGATTCGAAGGTTTGAAAATTTTACAGTTTATGTGAATGAATGTTATGTTCAACGTAAGGCAAAAAATTTCAATTAAGTAAGTGATGCAACCCCCCAAGGCTGCCAATAATATTACATGCATGGGCTTATGCAGCCACCTAGCCTGCCACCCATCAACTCCAATGGCCTTGCATGCAACAAAGAAAGGAATCCCAAAGGATGTCACGTAGCCTGAGCCAATGTTGTAAAACGTGACACCTCTTATTCGCCAAATGGGGTGGCGACACCATACATTTTTGTACTATTTCGCCAAGTGAGATGGCGCCTCCCTTACTGTCCAATCGTGATACATGCATGGGCTTATGCTGCCACCTAGCCTGGCCCTATTCTGCACACATAAATGTTTTGTGTAATACTCCACCCATCAACTCCAATGGCCTTGCATGCAACAAAGAAAGGAATCCCAAAGGCTGTCACGTAGCCTGAGCCAATGCT